TTGACGCCTATCGACACGGTGCCCCTTCGACAGTTCAACCGCCATGACCAACCATTTCCCCAGCACGGTGAGCACAGGGACGGTGACTTGCGCGTGATTTAATTTACAGTGATCGCAGACTGGCGCTGCATCTACCGCACTCCCCCACCTGGATGCGGTGTCAAGACTGAGCCAAGAAGACCGGAGGCGATAGAGCGCGCAGGTGGATAGGACGGCGTAAACCTGCACCTCTTAACTTTTCACCATACACGCTGGCCGACGGTGTACGCGGTGGCCCTATTCCGAGCGCTAGCCGCAATGCTGGGCTTCTCGCGAGTCTGCGCGTTCGCACCGGGACTGTCTAGCGTTGGCCCACTCGACCTTCCCACTAGCCAATCAGATTCAAGGCTGGGTCCGACGTGTCCCGATCTAAGATGTTTGGAAGCCTTCCTTGACTCACACTTGGGTCGTCGCTCTCCCGGTGCCGAAGGCAATTTCCAACCCTTTCCGACCCCTTCCCCAGTTGTTCTCGACAGGATATACAATCCTTCCAACTGGGGTCCATCTTTTCCTTCCATTCGGGACAGGGACTGAAGGTCGTGCCATCCAAGGTCTCAATCTCGGCTTAGGCTTCTGCGATGAGTACGCTGATGAGGATTTTACACATTACTTAAGGGTTTCGGGCAGGGACACGGCCCTAAACAGGCGCGGGGTAGGCCTGCAATTGGGCGTGGGGACGCAGCCCTAACAGTGCCTGTCGGAACCTGTGTATGTCTAGCGCATCTGTAGCGGCGCAAATCTGGGCGCTTATTGCAACGCTGAGCCTCACGCAACTACTTATACGTGCGTATCAATTATTGTGTGGTTCTCGGTCAATGCCAGCTGTCGAAACTAGCCAATCATCTCCGAGGCCGACTCAGACATGGCCTCGCTGAAGGCATTGGATGCCTGCTTCGTCTTTCACACCGGAAGGACGCCGCTCTCGCGCCCTCGATCGACTACCAAATCCCACCAATCTTTTCTCCGATATTTTTGCACAGAACACAATATCCTCTCAACTGGCATCCTACTTCTCCTTTTTCTGTTTCTGTACTGGACCTGATGGTGGTAGTGGTTAGGGCCTCATAATGGCCTAAGCCGCTGCGACGTATCTGCTGCGTGGCCCGTCTTAGGGGCAGGGTGTCCCTTCGCCGACTAGTTGAAGGCGGACAAACACGCATCTCGCGCCGGAGTTAAGAACATAAACGGTTGGCATTCGGTTCACAGGAACGATTGCTGCCACGGCCTGCTTTGTGGCTTGCAAATTCTCTTGATGCGGTAAAATTTGTCAAATTAAATAAGTCTTGTCGATTTTTGACTTGAAAGGCATTCTCCTTGTCGACTAGTACACATCGACTACAATCATAGAGCTTCGGACTCGTTTTGCGTGCGTCTTGACACTGAACCCTATCAATTCAAGGGATGGTTTTGCGACTGAGAGTACGTAAATCACTGCTCACTGACGTTTCTACAACCGTGGTGTTGATAGAAAGCTTGAACTTCACTTAAAGACACCGACCGGCCTCTCATTCACCCAGCTGCTTCCTTAAAGAATCTGAGCAAGACTCATTGACATTCATCTCATCTTTGTTCAAGTTACCAGTGTATTTACAATGCATCGGTCTCGCTTTTAACGCCGCTTATCATAGCTTTTATGTTGGGTCCGAAATTCTAGGAATAAGGGATCCATTAAACCCCAGACAGCAGTCCTCTTTAGTTCACTGGCCAGGCTGAACGCATGATGGGATCTCGCCTGCACGAGCATAAACTGGTTGTCCGACGGATTGAAGAATTATCGCAAATGACTGCCCACACCTTCGAAACGATTCACGAGTCCAACTTTGCACCCGCCGAGAGTTGATTGAGACTTTGACCGCAGATGAGAACTCAGTCAATCGATTTATTGATCTGAAGCGAGTATACAGAGCCCTGTTTAGTCAGCTCCACTGCAGCACTGCTGATTGGCTATTGACCCTCCCCAACACAACTGTCACCCGCTCTGTTGACGCTTTCATCTCTGCATAAATACGAAACATCGGAGAAAATAAGCAATTTTTTTCGTTCTTCCTTTATACGCGCATGAGTTTAAGGTGGGACAAATTGTTAATTCCATCTGAGTTATGCGGGTAGCTCATTACTTATGCTAATGGAATCAGGAGCGCTTTTTGATGTCCTAGGGGCCTACTCAATGTTGGACTGGTGACGACATTTATTCCGTTCAAAGCCATTGTTTTCTGTCCAAGTTGCTTGATGCCTCTACTGTGTTCGCCTGCAAACTTGTGTGAATGCTTTACCGAATGAGACTATTTCGAACTTGTCTTCCACCGTTGATCGCTTAATCTAGGAGGGTTTGTAATCACAAACTGGAATAGGGGGACCGATAGCAAGGGAAGTGTGCGAAGTTGATTAGATGTAAATAGCACAAATCGATAGCAATCTACCAGGAGCTTCTTTGTAATATAAAGATATTTTTATCATTTCCAAATTGAAAATAACAAAAACATGTTTTGCATAGAACAAAAGCTTCCTGCTGGAAGCCAGTGGGATCCTTTTACAGGGTTTCCGGCAGCATGTATGAGAGGAGTTCAGTGGAGGACAGGCAGGGTGCGCGCAGTCCATGGCGTGGTAGGACCAATCAACGTATGCCAGAGAAATCAGAGTCACTCCTGAAGCTGGTGGTGTGGAGTAGAGGACATTGGGGTGAATAATGTTCTTGCTTAGCAGTTTTGGCCGCGAGTTTCGCATCTGCAAGCCACGGCCATCATGGAGATGGCGTGATTTCCTAGCATTTGGTTAGTGCACCTATCCTTACCCCTATTACATAGACATCCCAGACGGTTGATGAACTCCGGGTACTTTTAGAGGAAGACGACTCGAGCTAGTCTGAGCCGCCAACGGGAGTAGACGCACCCCTCTCCCGTAGGACCCTTTCGAAGCGGAAATGGTGAGTAGGAAGATTAGAAGTAGTAGTAATAGGAGTGGGAGAGGGGATAGAAGGAGTAAAGGGAGGAGGGATAGGGGGGAGGATTAGAATGAAGATGTGTTGAAAGTGGTGTGGACGACAAGACAGAGGTTTCCAAATTAGAAGTCAGGGAGGACGGTTTGAGTTGGACAACCTTAAATGCTGTGGAAGTGCGTGCACAAAAGGTTCTGTATACAGTCGTCGTGAACACACCTCACCAAGCAAGTTATTTCGCCTGTGTCCGCCTCAACGTGCTGAGATCCAGCGCGTGTGTGCGCATTTCGTTGTCTCAACGTCCGCCAGCCAATCAGAGGAGGGACAGCGTTGATTGGCTTCGGGCACTCGCGAGGTTAGTAAAAACCCCCGCGCCTCCCAACAGCGCATCGACGAGGAGTATGAGGCCGACAGCAAGGCGGCGTGGCAAAGGCGGGGGATAAGGAGAGGCGGGTGCTCTGATCCACTTTTACCTGCAGGTCAAGGCGATTACTGGGTATGGTTTCTTGGCACAGCCTAACTTCCGGGCGCCGCGGATGAGAATTTGGAGCTAATTAAGGCCCCTACGGAGCGGCCAGTAGCTGCACTATGCACATAAAGCGACCTCGTACCAGAAATTTTCCATGTGAAATGATTGCATTTATAGTTAGCCATCGTCATAGATGGAAGAATGCAAATGGAGTGCGCGCAATCCATGACGTGGTGGGACCAATCAACGCATGCCAGCCAGCTGCTTTTAGGACTACCAGTCTCATGTAAAGATTACATTATCTTATCGTTCGGCACAGCACCCATCATGCGCCTGAGCCCAACCTTGCTCGTGATCCTGAAATACCCTCTGCTCTGCCAGCTCTGTTTCACACGCCTTGGTACGTGTTACTCTAACGTTTCGATCAAAATATCCTCGGCAATTTGCTGAAATGCCTGTCATCTGAAAAAATATACTTCCAGTGGGCTACCTCTCCTTTGAAATATTGACCAGAACTAAGGTCTCAGTCAAAAATTACCACTTAGTTGTGCTTGTAGTATTCCTCGTCATGCAGCATAATCCAAAAACATTTCCATCAAGCTAGGATTGTGGCTTTTAAACGGACATCATTCTGGCCTTTCGCTCGAAATACTCTGCCTAAAAATGGCTGCTTAAGCAGTAGTCCTCTCATATTGATTATGGTACCCTTAAAATGCATACCTATATTATAGGAGAAATGCACAACAACATACTTTTTTGCATTCATTTTTGAAATATTGAGTCTTTTTCAAACTTTCGATCCAAAACTAATTCGTATTCGTTTAAAAGAACTTGCACTTATAGATTTTTCAAGGTTGTGCACCCTCCGACCAAGAAACATCATATTTGTCCATGTATTAATGCCGCTCATAACATTTCCCAGTACCTGTCACCCACAGTATGTTACACACAGGATATCTTTACTCTCCATGCTAAAACTATGTACTATTTTCTAGTCGAATGCAGCACAGAATGTTACTGTTGGTTTTTAACCACCTAGTTTTCCGTGACAGGTTGACTTCAGACTTTTGTCGTTTGTGTTTCCTTCCATTCCATACTCAAAGAAAAGTGTCCCCGACACAGTTATGGCCTTTATTTGACGGACTTTGTACAATCCTGCGTGGAGCGGCTTTACACAATGTCGATAAGACTGCCCTATGACGAGGTCAGCAGAACGACATATTCGATGACGGTCGATGCTCCAGGGTACTGCGACGACTGCGTCTTCGTGACAACCTTTCACGAAGGTGGCTACTCACAGTTCTCCTGCCAAATATCCTTGCCTGCTGTCACTTTGCAGTTTCGCAGAGAGGTAAACATTAACAGTGTTTCGGTCCCTGTTTTACAAACGTCTTTCACTTTGATGGACTTTCTTTTATTCTTGCAGAAGCCCATCTTCCCTACGTACACGAACCTGGAGGCAATGCGATTTGAACTTGTCAACGTCAGCGCAAAGGCTCAAGTTAATCTCATTTTCGAATCCAAGAAATTTTCCGCCATACACATTACCAGACTCATCTTCTTCAATCTCTATGACCGACTCAGAAAGAAAGCAATCAAGGCAAATCAAGTATCTGGCTGGAAAACTGCAGTCATATCAAGGGTCCAAGCAATTTTTGACAGGGCTTATTTCCAGGACAGAAGCCTCAAGTGTTATGCATGATAACTGTCTAAGTAAACTACTCGACAATTTTACGTTGCTTGTTTCTGTTATAACTGTCTTTGTAAGGCAGGTGACATGGGTGTGTGTGTGAGCTTACACTTAAGTCCTTCATCGATTTTACTAACCGAAGCATTGGAAATAAATAACTGGTCTGGCAAAGTTTTTTTTTATATTGCTGGATTGATTTCGAGGCCAGCCTTCCCTGAAACGACTCAACCCTAGCTGCCTGTATTACGGGAGTGGTGATAAGCGGGGTTTTAACGGGTGGGCCATCGTAAACGGCGAGAAGGAGACCGCAGAAGTAGGCGAGAAAAGCCGCAGAGTGGAAGTTTGAATGAGGTAGAACCCAACTGCTATGCACGAACGAACGCAGGAGATCAAATCGGCCAATCGTAGGCGCGAGCGCAAGGTCAGGGCATAGGTAAAGGTGTGCAGAAAAACCGTCCACAACGGAGACATGGATGCACCACTAAGGCAGAGCACAAGCAGCGTAAAGGACGAAGAAATTGAAGACAGGTCAGCGTGAAAAACACAAGGTAAGTGTGCCGCAGGACAGAGAATATAACATTGTAAAGCTAGTATAACCGGAGTAGGTTGATGGGGCAGAATTTGACAACGGCGGTGCGCAGAGCGGAGGCTTAGTACCGGTGTGGGCGTGTGCTTGTAGTTACTAACGCAGATGAATAAAAGATATGTGATTCTCTCCATTAGACCCATAAGCGCCAGACAACATCGCAGTACTGGACTGCAAGTGGATAAACCGACGGAGTTTGCCTCGGATACAGTAGGTCCTTAACACGCCATACCCTGTAGCTTCACTTTAATCCTACCTGTTGAAAGCAGATCAGTAGGTCAACGGTACTATGTCTTTATGCCCGGCTACATAATAGGATCTTACCTAATTTAAACTTTGGAAAAATAGATAGGTTGAGAAAATGGTGTGCGATTTCAGACGAGATCGCTTGAACTTTCACCTGCTTCCAAGCCCTGCGCCGAAACCATGACTCGGGCACGCATCGAGCAGAGATGAAGACGCTCCCAAATCCAGTGACCTCCATAAAGATGTGACTGCAGAGAACACTTGCACGCAACACCGACATCTCACCTGGCTCAAAACCCGTCATCTGTCTTCCTCTGGATATTCGCATAAGCCGAAGAAGTGCAGCAGTTGGTCCGTTTCCGAAGTAGTTAGACTTGTTAGTTCTGCGCATCGCGTAGTGGATGTAAGCTAGTCGAGGGCACTCCACGCTCTAGTCCAACCCTGTCCGCGCATAATTCACTCATGCTCCACTTAGGAGGCTGCCCTAACATTCCGTCCACACGCCGTGCAAGTGTCGATGTGGCGCCAGCTGCCAACAGGATTGGAGGTTTACTCAACCAGTCAAATGAGCCAGAAGTCCAACGGACATACCAGTCACAGATGGCCACTACCTGATTGGTTGAGTTTCGGCCCAACCTTAGGCATTCCCATATGTTCCTTTTTGTATTACAATAAATTAAATGCGGTAGAATCACAAGAAAATTCCTGTAACGGAAGATCAACCCACGCCGCGTCCCACAAAAATTAACATCAGTAAAGAAACTACCGTTTTTACAAGGAGGCATACGCATTTGGGTTGGCAAGTTAACATTTACTAATGATAGCAATCCATTCTCCCTGAAAACTTAAATTCGAAAAATGCCCATATTATAGGTATAGGATGCATGAAGCAGGGGACACCTAGTAATTCTCGGTTTGGTAAAACAAACGTCTGACAAACAAGCTTATTATTGAGTTCTTTTACATGACACGTCGCAAAATTGCAGAGTAGGATTCTTAAAGCTGAATACGCACATCTTTTCTTAAAACAATGCACATCCATATCCTGACTTCATCTAAAATTCATGAACACAAAATTAAATTTTCCATTTTCCAAAGAGATTTATCTCCAACTAATCTTAATCATCGTGTAAAGAACAATGCGTGCAAACATGGACTTCTTACCTGCGGAAGTCGGTAACAGGAAATATCCTGCATACCAAGGAAGGCCGTATTTCGCCCAAATTCGGCCTGTTTTCCTTTTATAAAAGAAAAACCTGTGGGGCAGAATATATTGGTCGCACGGGCCGGCGTTTATCCAAAAGGCTAAAAGAACATCTTCCAACATGGTAAGGAAAGGGTCAAATAATGAACATCAACAGCTCGATCCTCGCGCACATGGTGGACACAGATCACCCACCCCCCTCCCACCTCCCCCCCGCGATGTGCCCTCCTACGATTTTAATTGAATTAAGATTCAAAAGACAATCTGGCGAGCATACGTCTGCTTTCGATAAATTCTCATCAGGCCTGTACATTTATATGGCTACTGCAGTCATGAATTAAAAGATACGGGCCTCTGAAGGCCTCTCTGGCGTCTACACGGTGGTCTATGTTTACCACCAACTCAGACCACCTCTATGTGTATTTACTCCTTCACCTGCTCCTCTGGGGCAGAATATATTGGTCGCACGAGCCGGCGGTAATCCAAAAGAATGAAAGAGCATCTGCCAGCATGGTTAGGAAAGGAACAAATAAAGAATATCATCAGCTCGATCCTCGCGCACATGATAGACACAGACCACCGTGTAGACGCCAGAGAGGCCTTCCGAGTGATTTACAAGGTACCATCGAACTATCCAAAAATACTTGGGCAGCGCTTGTTGGCTACGGCAGAGGCGGCTGCAATCAGGCTACGCGGACCGGTCCTACGCCCACGAAAGAACTTCGTACAGGTCCCACAGTTGCCATGGTTCAAAGCCAACAAGCCAGCCATCCGCATGTAATTATCTTCGCCGGGACCCACCTTCTCCCTGGCGCTGGCTGGAATTGTGGTGTTTCAATCTCCCCTCTCCCCCCCCCCTCCCCAAAACCGAGCTTCAGCTTAATTATCTACCTGCCCATATATTTTAGTTCATTACTTCAAAAGCCATAGAAATGTACAGGTCTAAAAAGACTTTATCGAAGGCAGGCGTATACTCGCCAAATTGCCTTTTGAAAAGAAGAACCGTCTGAAGGGCGAGTGATAAGTCCCTAACGCTTTCCAGTGTTAATGACGCAGTGAAAACACCCAGAGATCTTGGGGCACAGGGCAGCCCTCTCATTGAGTGTGGTTTTTCAAAACAGCGTCAAAGTTGAAAACAGACTGCGTGTGCCGGGAGTCGAACCCGGATCGACTGCTTGGAAGGCAGTCATGCTAACCGCTACACCACACACGCTTACGGCGTGGGCCATGACAGAACAGACATCTGTTCAGACATTACCCAATGGCTGGGAGGAAATATGCCCAGTGGGTGCGTGCCGCGCTGCGTTCACGGCCTGGGCATGTACGTATAGCCAGCGTGCTATTTGGAAACCCTGGAAGCATGCGCATTTTGTCAGGTTAAGCTTCTTGCTGAACTCTAAAATCGCGAGGCTTGCAGTAGTAAGGTTGAAAATTCAACCGGAGTGCTTCAATCCCACTGACTAAAACGGAGGGGACACTATGCCCTCGTCCTGAAAATCGCATGGGTGCCGGCCAGTGCGATTGAAATAAGTGCGTTCCGGACTAGCCGCCGGTTAAGGACGATACTGACGAGGAAAAAGTTTTCTGACTGTGAAAATCACAAGGCACAAGGAGTTTCGGCAAAGATTAATTAAGTATGCGCGCGAGGTAAGGAAAAGTCACGGAGAGCTGCCTACTATATTTTTCAGAGAATGCGTTGTCTTGCAGAGTTTTTGGTCGGCCTTTCGTCGGTGTGAGGGCACCCGAAGAGCCGGTACTGCTGGTATTTTCTACATTATTTCATTGTTCTGCACATCCGCAGGCAATTATTTAGCAAGAGGGAAGGGTCACTTTAAAAGAAGGCACGACTCGGAGACCCACCAGGTTGTGAGTAATGCGTCCAAAAATGGAAGATGGAATTTGTAGGTCTGTCGGTGAAGCAGGAGTGTTAAATCTCTGGTATATTTGTTAAAAGACAGTTAACATTCCCTTCCCTCGCGCGTATTATTAATTTCTGTCGAGTTTTCCGTGTTGATAATGGGTCGCTGTGCCATGCTAGGTCTGACGATTGTGTAGAAAAAAACATTGGACTGCTTGTAACAAATGACTACTGACCTCATCCATTTTCTTTGTCCGTTTCGAAATCGCACGGGAGGGTATTATGTGTGTTCAGGATGGGCGGCTGATAACCTGGGGAGCATGTTCTACGGGAAGAGTGGTTACAGGGGTGAGGCCTTATATTATATAAAACTGACCAATATTTTCCATTATTCTGCTTCAAAACTCTGGACTTCTACCTAGTAACCAGAGACAGTCAGCAAATGTCACTTGCAGAGACCTTGTCGAGAGAGGTGCGCAGGTCGACAAGATAAAGATTCCCGAACCAAAATTCAGGGAAGACGGAATGTTTCGGACAACCTTTACTGTCTTGGAATTGCGTACACATAGGTTCTGTTAGCAGTCGCCGCTCTCCAGGCAAGTTGTTGTCTGTGTTGTCCCAGCGCGTCTGTGCCCCCTCCGTTGTCTCCGCGTCCACCAGCCAATCAGAGGGGGGGCAGCGTTGATTGGCCTGGGGCACTCGCTAGGCTAGTGACGAGCCTCGCGCGTTCCAGCAGCCTATCGACAAGGAGTGTGAGGCGGACAGGAAGGTAGCGTGACAAAGGCGGAGGGCAAGCAGACGCAAACTGTCACGACGCCTGCTGATGTATCAATGATGCATGAGCAAAACGACCTCCAAGCTAGTCAGCTGAATGTCGCATCTGGCTGCATCCACAGCTGACGAATGGTTGTAAATAAGAACAATAAACGTACTGCTGCTGTTATCACCCAAGTGCTGGGCGAGTGCGTCAACTACCTACGCTGTACGCTGAGCTCTTCGTAAGGGACGTATAACTCCTCATGCGGCCAGATAGCAGACAGACGTCAGCCAAGCAAAATGCTCAAAAATATGTAAAAACCGAACGATTGATCCGGATACTGACGCACAATTTTAGTAGT